GAAAAAAGAAGGAAAGGATATTTCTTCACAGATTTCCTTCGAATTCGCCTTTACAAGCAGAAAAGCAAACGCATTTATAAAGGTCTTAAAACTGCATGGTAAATGGTAACATAAAAAAACAATTTGGTATGTTTTTAATAACAAAATCATTGCAACAGCTCTTTTAGCGTCTTTGACAGCCTTCCACTGGTTCAGCCAAAATACAGTCTAAATACCTTTTCCTCACAACCAGAAAGTAATCACGTGTTGAATAGGCTTGCCACTTCCATTTCATAAAATAAAATGTGGGGGTAACCGCGCGTCTTTTAAAGTTATTGATCTTTTTTAAAACTCTTACAGTGCCCGTTACATTTTTTCCTGTCGCCTCCCCAGTAAGTAAAACATTTGCGTATTTCGCACTTGTTTTGCGCGCGCACAACGCCATCTGCAGGTACATGTTTACAGTTGGATTTCAGTACAATTTTCGACAGATAACAGCTAGTTTTTTAGCTGGAAGACGTTAACAGTCAGTGGTTAGCGATATGCTGCTATTTTGGTGTTCCTGGTTTAAGTACGGGTTCATTAAACTTGATTTCGTCATAGTAGCAAAATTTTGCCTTCTTTTGGTCGTGTACTTGGTAGCGTAGTTGATTGCGTCAATGTGAACCTCAGCGCGTGTGTGGCGCTCCTTCGGTGAAATTCCGTTAAATTTGGCAGATTGGTAGTAAATATTTTACTTTAGTCGGAGATCGTTTTTCAGGGAAATGTATAAGACCAGATTTTTTGCAGCGGTAAAAGACATGAATTTGAAAATATCGAAAAAACTGCCTTTACAAACCCTACTTTTTTCGTGTTTAAAATTCGTATCCCACTGGAAGCGATGTGATGTAAAAATTTTGGAAGATTTCACCGACTAAATCCCCTATTTAATCATTGCTTATTACATGTAATAAGTTTGAAAGGACTAGGTGAGAAAGCGAATGCAAAAACAGCATTCAAAACGTAACACTTGCGCGCACAACGCCATAAATGATTACCCCATGGAGACACCTTGCGCACTAACAGACAGAAAGATGTAAGCATAGAAAACAATATGCATTTGCTTCCTTGGAGTTTCGTTCGTATGAATTGAATATTACATCGTTAAAATAGGACATATTCATAATCCCTATATTGGACTGGAACTAGCTTGCAACTGAGGCTAACGCGAGGAGTCTTTTCAAATGCAAATGATATTTATCTCTTTTTTTAATGATATTCCCTCACACGAGCTTTCATTACAAGCTAGTCGAGAATACGAATATGGCCTGTTATTAAAAACTCAGGGGCGTAGCCAGGATTTTTCAAAGGGGGCACCAGAATTTCATGTCGTTTTCGCCACCTGATGTACGTTATTTGCGTGGTGAATTTTAAATACGCCAATAAGAGCCTTTCTACTGTTACTATCCGCACAACTGTTTCGATATGAGCTCCACGATTGCTACAGAATAAAAAAGTTGATTGCCTGACAGGGGCTGCATCCAACAGTAAGATCACTTTACAATCCCATTGGTCAAGTGGTGACCCATCTTGCTCTCTTGCAGTGGTATATTTTTCATCGTAACGAACGAAACAATCTCCGTTAATAGTTTCCTTATGATCGCCACTACACTCTTATTTTTTTTCTGGACCAGGCTTATTTTTCTGATACGATACACATATATCTCCCCCCAGAAATGTTGTTAGCATCGAACATACGGCTAGGGCTGTTTTTATTGCTTTTTTTTTGTTAGTCTCGCCGTCTATAGAAAGGAAGATATTTATACAGTTTTAAGTTAAAAGCATATGATTGTATTGTACTTGCAAATTTTCAACAAACAAAATTGTAATCTTTTCAGAATCTCAGCCCCGGGGTTTATTCTTAACTATATTTTTTAAATTTTACAAATTTCAGCTCGATATTCTTATAAAAAAATATTCTTGTAGGGAAAAAAAAAAAAAACAGTGTATTTCAGCAACGATCGGAGGTTTGTCTCAGCAATTGCTGTCGAAACGATCAGGTAGCATAGTATACGTACGAGCCTCAACCGCCACACATTTTCATATGAAAGGTTTCCCAGCAGCGTCATTTTGGAAGATAATTTGAATTCAGTTTGTTATACACTGGTACTCACGTCAAAGAAGATGGCATTTAAAAGGTTGTGCATGTCAAAACGAGTCATAAATAAACACAAATTAGTCAGGTGGTAATTATTGTGCGCGCTCATTAAAATTTCAGCTGTAATCAACTTCTCCCAAATTTAAGAGTTTTAACTAGTTTGGTTTACTGGTTCATAACATGATTCATGTACCTGGATTATATAATAACAAAATTCCAGCTCGGTTTGACGATAAAGTGAGTGGCAAAATAAGTCAATTATTTAAAAAAAATGTATTAAAATCCAACCACGTCAGAAACCATTGGAAAATGTTTTGTCCTGAAGCTAACAGCTGTCATTTTTTCGTGTCAACACATGGAAACATCCAAGGAGGATATATTTTACCTTAAACTGTTCATAAGCAAGGAAAAGTGTTTTCAAATGAAGCATTTCGCCCTAAAACGTATCCTTTTGTTTTCGCTCTTTTTTTCGCGGACAAACGATGGCAAACGAAAAATTAACAAATGGAGGGCCTGATGCTAATGGAACGTTAGAGTAAGATAATCAGAAACAAAAAGCTATCACAGTGGTTGTCGATTCGTTGAAAAGCCGGGGGCGGAAACACAATCACGCAAAAGACAAAATTAATTGTAACATATATTTGGAGCTGTGCTGAGGCTCTCACGCTAGCTGAGCACCTGGACTCATGATTTGTCTTCAACATGGCAAACTTTTCTCTTTCAGAGCGAAATCTCTCAATCGCTGTTTTGGAATCGACGATTTGCGCAGTCATTCCCTTTTTCAGCCTTGTAGGAAATATCCTTGTTTGCGCAGCAGTTTATAAAAATGCTAGACTTCGATCCACAACAAGCATATACATCATTGCCCTGGCCGTCTGCGATCTTCTTTGTGCCACAAGGGAAATGCCTCTAACACTCTCCACTTTAATAACGGGAAGATGGGTTTTCGGCAATGCCGTTTGTCAGATTCAAGGCTTCGTCGATGTCTTCGCCGCTTCTTGTCCTCCAGCAATCATGGGACTCGCGGCTTTCAACAGATACATTCGAA